ACCTCTCTAGATATGCGTCAACCATATTCAAAACCATATTCAGATAAAAATTCAGTGTTTCAAATAATTATAATAATCAACTTACCTTATCTGGTAAATTATTAACGAATATACACCACAAACAAATCTGCGACTCCAACATTTTCTGTGCGATTAAAAAATAATGACTATCATTCTTAGTGGTATAAATAGTACAATTAGATTTGTAATTTTGTGTTCGATAAAATAAAAGGTGGCTATTCCTGTCCACTTTTTCCACGTCAAACTTCAATTTAGAATGTTGGTTTTTTGCGGAGGGAGAAAGACCGAAAGACCCAAAGAAAAAAGTCCAGAGTAAGTTGACATCAGGCTGGGAAATGGAACCCAGGCCAGAGCGGTGGGAGAACAAAGCCATACCCAGTCCCCTAACGTCCTAGAAGTAGAAACGACTTTTCCTCCAACGCTAAGTAGCGATAAAATTTAAATAAGGACATAAGCTAAATCCTCGAAAGTAAAAACCATAATTAAAAGTTTTAACCTTCCACGAGATCGATACATCTATTTGCAAAGGCAGAGAAACACTATTCTTTCCTCAATGAAATGCGAATACGCTCGCATCTAAAATGCGAAAGCGGTGTTTTGGAGCTCTTTTCGATTGAATGTCCTAAACACAAATGCAAAGTAATCAAAGCAACCAATTGCATCGCAGGGGAAGTTTCAGCGGAAGCCAATCAGCACGTAGAGTGAAAAATAAACTGCTTGGAGCGCGGGAGAACGCGAGTCATCAAGTTACGGTTGGTTTTTGATTAGAATCTGATTGGTTGAGATAGTGGCGCAAGTTTTCTGGACCAATCACACCGCGAGGTTTTTGATTAGCTTGCAGCAGTGATTTTGCAACACTGGACTAAAGAATGCAATAGCTTGTTCGCGAATCTTACCGTGATGATTCCAATTTGTGTAAGTCGTCCTGTTACTGTACAAAACAGTGGAGGGAGGAAAACGTTTTTCCCATGGACAATAACTAGAGATAAAGGCCAGCCATCCTTCATCATTCGGGCAATGGTTGTGAATTTTGGAAATGTAGAAATTCCTTCCATTGCAACAGCCCTTGATCGAGAAGTAGTTTTGGCGCTCGCTTTCCAAATCTGTCCA